AGACCTGTGATTCCTGGCAGAGAGCTCCCAAAATCCTTGTAATTTCCTGAGCAATACAGAACTAGGAAAAAAAAATAATGCGCAGCCTCAGTGTTAGTTTCTGAAACCGAAGTCCTAAATCACTTGGAATTTCTTGGGTGATAGGATCATCTTTTGTTCTAATATGACTTTTACTGGGCTCCTTTATAGGTCTGGTCCCTAGGAAAACCAATCATTGTCTTCATGCATAAGCTTGGAATCTGGGTGTGATGACACATGCCTATAATCCCAGCACTCAGGAGGCTGAGGCAGGAAGATCACCATGAGATCCGTGAGAGCCATGGACGGCCATGGCTACACAGTGAATTCAAGATCTGCCTGAACTGTGTAGCAAGACCCTGTCTCAAAAAAAGAAAATCTCTTAAGGAACAGATGCTCCTGTGCCCAGGACCCTTCCAGACCTTCCCCTATTTAGCTTTTACTATATCTTTTATTCATAAACTAGTAAATGCTACAAAAAGTGTTTGCCTTAATTCTGTGAGCTACTTTATCAGATTAATGCAACCCAAGAAGTGAGTACCAAGAGGAAACATTTATACTCAGTTGATCAGAAGTATAGATAATGATCTACTGATTGTAACTCGTGTCTACAATTAGGGACAGAGTTTTGAGACTGAATTCTTAACCTGTGGATTTTGATGTCAGATTCAGGTAGAGAGTAGGAAAATAAACCCACATATATGGTGATAGAAGTACTACAGTGAGTGACAGTTGAGTGTGTGTAGAGTAAAAAATAGAAAATAAGATTTTGGTATTTTCTATGTCTCAGAAAATCAATTTCCTCACTCTTTTAGTTCTCATGTGGTTAGAAAATAGGGGCATTCTTTTCCTGAGAATTGCCTTGTCAGGCTAGAAGTCACACGGAATTCCACTAGAAGATTAAAATTGTTCTGAAATTAAAAAACTATGAGGAACAAGACTTTGTGTGTGTGTGTGTGTGTGTGTGAGAGAGAGAGAGAGAGAGAGAGAGACAGAGACAGAGACAGAGACAGAGAGAGACAGAGAGACAGAGAGACAGAGAGACAGAGAGACAGAGGGAGAGACTGAGAGAGGGCAAAAGAGACCAGTATAGGAATCTCATATGTGTTGTAAGTTTCAGTTACATGATTTATCTTTTTAAAATTTTTAAGTATTGGTAAGTGTTTGCTATACTTAATGTATTAATGAATACATTGTGAGGAGTTAAATATCTATCTACCTAACATCTATCTATCTATCTATCTATCTATCTATCTATCTATCTATTTATCCTCTATCGTCTATCAAATCTTTCTTATTTTGCTTTCTTCAAAAGCTCACATTCCCGCAAGAACCGCGAGCCCCCTTTTCATACATAAGTCTTTTCAGTGTGCTGCCTAAGTCTTTGGCCTGAGGCCAGTGGAGGTTTTCTGCTGCCACACAGGAGTTCTGTTTCCTTGAGTTGGAGAATCTTCATTCTCACCACCTTTAAGGATTAAGGATGTGTTTTGTTACAATCTCTTAAGGTCAAACACATCAGTTCCAAGTTTATTCCACTTCCTCTAAAGAACACAGAGTTTGGAATAGTTTTATCTTATTAATTAAGGAATAGTTTTATTTTATTAATTTGACTTGGATTGACTTGAAAATTGATAGTCTTGGATTACTGTCCTGAGAAGTATCTTGCCTCCTAGTTTTTCAAGAGAAAAAGCCGCTAAGCTGGTTGAGAACGTGCCATGTGTGAAATTACCTCAGCGCTGTGGAAGCAGTAACCGGCAAGCTGTCCCAGAGGTCGAGATGCAGAAGGCTTTCACACTAAAGTTTAAAGGATCACATCTCATGGCTTGTTAAATTGCTTAAATACTGGGGAAGAAACAGGAATGACTGGGAGAGGTGACGTACTTAGAGAGACGTGCAACCGCCATGAAAGGACTGCAAGTTGTAATGTTTGTGATCGTCATAGATTATGCTCCCTTCTTGCTATCAGCTTTGCCATAGGACAGTTTAGGGATGAAGAGCAGGACGGATTTCTGACCAAGAAAAGGCCATAAGGAAACCATCTTGAGCTGAGAATGCACACATGTTCTTTCAGAGAGAGGCAGAAGTGTGCTTGATATAACAGTATCTGTCAATTTACGAGTGGAACAGTGTTATTTACGTTTCTTAGGAAGAGCATAGGTGGGATCAGAATAACACCATAAACACCGTACTGGGTGTCCACAAGCTGATGAGGTGTGATGATTCTGTGTAGAGGTGGTGTCATCATGATGTCTTTCTGCTCTTTGCGTTTCTCAGCAGCAGATTTTTGCTCTACCAACTTTTCTGTGTGCTCTGCTTTAGCTATCTAACAGGTTACTGACGATCTACATTTAGCAACCATGTAAATTCTACTCGTGTCTCCCAAGCAACTTTTTACCCTATATATATACTCAGCATATCTTGTGAGTCCCACCTATACCTCATATGCTTACTTTCTAGCAAATTACTGACTATGTTTAGCACTTTCTATGAGTCCATTTGTTCTGTTTGGTTTCTTGTCTTCTTTGGAAGAACTGAATATTCTTAACAGGACAGCAAATGCCCATTATAGAAAGAAGTCGGCTGTTCCATCTGTATCAGAATGATAAATTTTATACTGTCTGCTTCCCAACATTTTTTCCAGACAAAGAAGGACAGCTTAAGAAGCATTTGGTATGATCCTTGTGAGAGATGATAGCATCTTGGCCCACGCTGACATAGAAAATATTGATATTTGGATGAAACTAAGAGACAATCAAAAGAAGTGATGACTGATTTTATATGAAGTTTACAGAAAGAAAGATATCAAGAATAACTTTCACATTTCTGGTTTATACACGTATTACTTTTTTTGTTTGTCTTTTTTTTTCCAGTACCAGGAATTGAACTCACAACCTTGCTCTTGCCAGGCAGGCGCTATGCCACTGAGCTAAATCCCCAGCCCCAGGTATTACTTATTATGAAAGTGGGCAGGATAAAAAAGGAGTAAATTTTGGAATTAAGGTGTGATGAGCAGAAATTAAACTTTATATTATGTCTCTAGGGAGATTTGTAGTTGGAAATTAGTTAAATATTGTTGTGAATTTTAGGAGACAAATCTATTGAATAATGCAAAGTTTGGAATGTATCAACATATGGATAGTATTTGACACCATGAACTTGAAAAATTTCACCTAGAATGAGAATGCAGAAGGGATGGGCAAAGCCAATGTATCAATATATATGATCAAATAAATACATATTTATAGTAGTACAATAAATATGCTATTTTTATTGTGTCAACTTAAATAATTCACTTTTGGAATTCACTTTTCTACATACCTCTAGGTTGGTTTCAGTCACAAGAGCTGTTTTTCATGAGGTCTGAAAGATGGAAGTGAAGTGGTATTCATGTTATTTGTAAACATGCAAAGTTAGTGAAGGACAGCAGGAACTTTGCAGCTTAGGTATGTTGCTGCCGGCCTTGTTGGTCTGGGGAAGCAACCAGACCCGCAGCTTTTCCAGATCCAGATCTTATTTTTTAATCTCTTTCTATTTTGGGTAAAATGAATATTTAATTCCAAGGATAAGTTTAGTATTAGCCTCTTGTGAAACACACATTCATGTTCAAAGTTGGAGGCTTATAAACAGCGGGAGACTGGCACAAGTTTAGTTCCTTCTCCTGGTTTCTAGCTGAATGCTGCAGGTTTTGACATGTCTTGGTTTATTCCCATCAAGTCCACCTTCATTTGCCACTTGCTTTCCCTGTGAATTTCGGGGTCCAGCCAGAGACACAGAAGCATCAGCCTCACATGGAGCAATGAACTTCCAGATGGTTCTGCTTTTGTAATCAGATCCTGAATGATACAGATATGAACAACCTGATATTTTTCATGTGTGTGTTAATGTATTAAAAAAGAGGAATAGAATAATTTTGACAAGCTACACAAAATTGTGAAGTGCTGATTTTGTGAGTGGCTTCATCACCCCTGCTGGCTGAAGTGTGCATTGAAAGATAATGATGACTTTCACTCCCCCAGAGAAGAAGAGAAGAAAAGGATGACTCAGTTGAACACATCATGGAGCCCCCGTCTCAGCCCTAGAACTTCTTCACTCTGTCTTTCACATTTATGTTGTTTATGTACTGATTCATCACCTATCTGCCGTTCACTTTAATCTTGGATGATTGTTTTAAGAAAATATTAACAATACGGTCACACAATGTCTTGTACAGAATGTTTGCCAATATACCTGTGAGCTCATATATGGGGAGAGAGAAGAAAGACAGCAAGGAAGAAATGTGGAAGAGAAAATTCATCTTGTGCAACACAAGTTATTTTTACTTTCTTCTTTATAACTTCAATTATAACTGGATATATTTGCATAAATTGGTTATGTTCTCCAAATCAAGATAGTTCTTGTTTTTTTTTTTTAAACTAGGCTTTATTTGCTGAAGATTGAAAGTTGAGAAAATGATTACACACATTCATTTGATACTGGTAATTTATTTAAATTACATTATAAACATTTTCAGATAATTTGTTAATAAAAATAGTTCTCATAATTCTTTGAAAAACAGTAAAAATTTATTTTATTTTATTTTATTTATTTATTTTTTTGGTCTTTTTCCGGTACTGGGAATTGAACTCATGACCTCATGCTTGCCAGGCAGGCACTGTGCCACTTAGCTAAATCCCCAACCCCAAACAGTAAAAATTTAATTTGGCTAAATTAAAAATAAGCCAAAACTCCTATAAATATGTATATGCATATAAATACAAAAAATTCTAAGTCAAATATTGGCAACATTACTTTAAGTTGAGAGTAAACGAAAAATATTCCATAATAAAGAACTTGTCACTCCAAGAATGTAATCAATAATTGTTACTAGGCCAATAGTTAAAATAACTATATCAGTACTCAATATACAATAATCAATAGTTTGATTTCTTTTGTTTGACAGCAGAGTCCAAAGTAGCATTCATCCTTGAAAGAGACAAGTCAGGTGGAGGATAGCAATGTAAACATATATTTTATTATTATGAAAATGAATTTAAGTAATAGAACACACTCTAATGTTGAAATACTGAAAGTATTCTCATTTAAATAATAAAGAATGACTAGTATCATTATCATACATGGCTATTATAGCTAGAAATCTGGTAAGCATAAAAATTCACAAAATGAAGTAAAAGCCATGAATATTGGCCAGAGAGAAAAAAGCCATAATTTGCAGAACCTTATACAGACAGGAACAGGATCTAGGGATAGAGGGAGAGGGCAAAGAAAGAAGGAAAGGGGAGGTAAAAAGGACTAAGATATGATATGAACTACTCTGGACAATAAATGTATTCACGATGTATTGTAAACATGTAGTAATGAAACAAAGTAAAAGAAAAGGGATCGAAGGAAAAATTAAGTCAGTGGGTGTTGAACAAAGTTGCTCAATGCAAGATTATGTATATTTAAGCATCAGTGGAGGTTCACATTTCCTTTTCTTCATAGAGTTGCTGCCACATTCAGTTGGAAACTATGGAGAAAAAAATTCTCATTCAGATAGGGAAAAACACAATATATTTGTAATATCCTTAGTTGGAAATTTGGAGAGGCTATTCAAAGAAAAGTATAAACTTCCTTTAAAAATAAAAAGAATATGTGACAAAGAGAATTCTTAAAGCACAGTTCTACATAATCCAATATACATATTTGCAACCCATTAAAACCTTATTTTAGTTGTGAGAAAATTTTCAACATCATTCTCAATTTTATTAGAGGGCCGGGGATATAGCTCAGCAGTACAGTGCCTGCCTGGCAGGCACAAGGTGGTGAATTCGATTTCCAGTAACAAAAACAGAAACAAAAATATTAGAAAATCTGCTTATGGTATTAACAAAATTATGCCAAGGAATTTTATTGTTTTAAATCTACTCAGTTAGTAAGATTTAAATTAAATATTTTTCTGCCTCTTAGTAATTATTAGATTTCTTGTTGACATATAATTATGCATAAAGAGCTGACAATAATTCATCTGAAGTTGCAAAAGTATTTAGCCATCAATCTGGCAAGATAATTTTATGGAATATATTCAAAGAAAGCAAACATTCTTGGACAGAAGTAAACACATAAATATATTCATCATCACATGGGCGTAGGAAATCAATATTGAAAACAACATCTCAAAGTAAGATGAAGGTGAAATAGTTTTACTGTATATGTCTGATATATATTATAAATAAAAATAATATTTAAGACCTGTTTATTGCCATTAGTAATGATTTGAAAAAATAAGTAAAAATGCACAAAATTGTGGATATAAAGTAAATCAATTATATAAAAATAAGTTGAGTTTTGCCCAAAAAGATTTTCAAAAGAGGAAAACTGAATAAGGGGTTTTAACAAGTTCTCAAAAAGTTTAGCTAGCAATGATTATTTCTTCATTAAAAGCTTCCTTTAATGGGTTTAATATTTAAATTTAATATCTAAAATTAGTGAGTATGACTTGCTTTATAGTAAAATAAGAGAATAAGTTTTTAAAAATGTATTATGCATTAATTCAGTGTTAATGCGATAGTGACTTATTTAGTACTTGTGGAAAGCTATCAGTTGAGAAGTTTAATATAAAAATATTCCTGATCAAAAATTGATCTTTTAAAATAATGGATTGATAGAAACCACAATGTCTTCATTTTCCTTGAAAAAAGTACAGAGAATATGGATATCCAGACTATTACAGCTGAGATATCAGTGGAACTAATTTCTGCAGTAAGAAATCTCTTTGTAAAAGAGATACAATCCTGCCAATGGCAGGAACCGACACACGTTGCTTCAGGATAGAGGCAGCAACTTCTCATTTGAGGCTGCGATATAGGTCAGCCTCATTGCAAACGGGGAAGACGTGACTCAGAAAGACTGACTGTTGGTGAGTACTCCCAAAACACACGACATACAGCACTTCTAAAGTTTGCATTTTGTGCATGCCTCAACTATTCTCTTACACTGAGTGATTCTTGAAAAAAAATGTGCCTGAAGGCTTTTCACCTGGTCACCACTAAACTAATCATTTCTTATACAAATATTATAGCGCAGTTGAGGGCAAATAAACTAAGTGACTCACCAGAGGTTCTTAAGAAAAAGCAAACATGACCCTCAGTAACAAATAAACAGTTAGTAGGCCATGGTTATTCTTCATTCTTATTCAGTCTTTCTGTGTAGACTCGGAGCAGGGAAAACCCAAATTCAAGTCTAAAGTGTGTTTTACCTGAGAGGTTTCCATGTATTTTAAATCCCAGGGAAGAGGTAGAAATATCGTGTCATAGATACTCTTTCAACGGTAGGCATCTGTGCCAGTACTGTTGGAGTCTCAAATGAATTTTGAACCTGAAATAGTAAAAGAAAGTCTTTATAATGGGTCTTAAAACAGGAAACGCACAATCACTCTCAACAGCAAAAAACACTATAGCGTATCTTAAGAATATTCCTAGGCAGAGTAGACTAAAGATATTTCTAGCTATTCCTTAGATATGGTGCAGACAGGAATGAACTAGAACCCTTAAGAAGAATTTCTTGGGTGAGCAAAGCTATGAGAATCAGATGCTATTAGAAAAATCAAATTGGTTCTATATGGAATTAATGAACATTCCCTGTTTAAATAAACATGGAAGAAAGGATGTTGGATCAGATGATGAGCACTGTGGCAGTTTTAAAAATGGCTTGCAAGTGGTTCTTTTCAGTTTTCAAAGCTGGAAAGAAAGAACACTCCTACCATTCGAAAAATGGCCTCCAAATGGTGACTCCAGCAATATTCTCTGATGAAGTAGGTGAGGAGAGAAATGAAGGGAGAGCCAGTTTCTAGCAGCCAAGAAACATTATCTGAAATAATGTAGGAAAACATTGGTGAATGTAGCTTTTGTAGAAGCATGGGAAGCTATTTGGGACAAAGGCTTTGGGACAAAGTATAATCTGATGCTTTTGAAAAGAGAAAGGGCTTAGCTGGGCAATACTGCGACCTCAGATTTCCACAATAGATAAAACGTTCATGGACCCTCTCTCAGCCTTCTTCACAGGCAAGGCAAAAGTTACACCTGGTAGGACTGCATAGAGTAGAAAAGACCACTGAGTCCTCTCGTACTCCCTGCATAATAGAGAAAAAAGCATCAAAGTCTCTGTTCCTTAATTCTTGGGCTCCTCTTTCTCTAGACTTGTTTCTGTTGCATAAAAATCTTTTGGAAGACTATTAGTCCTTACCATCCTAAGGTATTTAAGTTTCTATTATTAGAAAATAGAAGATTTATTTAGAAAATAGAAGATCTATTTACTAGAAATAGAAGATAATATTCCCTTAAACATCATTTACCTACAGATGGCTTCCTACTTTTCATTCCCTTTTTTTGCCCCCTCTCCGGTACCGAGATTCAAACTCACAACCTCACGCTTGCCAGGCAGGCGCTGTGCCGCTGAGCTAGAACCCCAGCCCCTCTCTTTCCCTTTTGTACTTAGGTTTTTCAAATATGTCCATCCTCTCCACCTCCATTTCCTTCCACTCTGCGCGTTGCTCTCTTGTTTCTCTACATACCAGCCTTATAAAACAGGCTTTTTCCAAGGTCATCTGTGATTTCCACATTCCTAAACCTCACAGTCGTTTATCAGAGCTCACCTTTGCTTGAACTGATATTCATATCAGAATCTATTGTCAAATTCCAAGAGTCTTTATTGCTATTTCTAAAAATATGGACTCCTAGTCTCCTGTCTTATTCTCTGACCCTACTTGCTGAGCTAACCCTTCCATCTCTGATCTTGAACTCTACAGTTCTTCCAGTCTTAGTATAGGACTTTATTTCACACTGTTCTCAACTTTTAGACAGCTCTGTCCATTCTTAGTTTATTAAATGTAATCCTTCATTATCTTTAATGTAGATCACTTTTCTTTTTTTTGGTTTTTCTCCGGTACCGGGAACCGAACTCACTACCTTGCGCTTGCCAGGCAGGCGCTTTGCCGCTGAGCTAAATCCCCAGCCCTGTAGATCACTTTTCTAAAACATACCACTATTCAACACGCTATTCTTTCTTTACCTTCATACATGCCACAGTCCTATCAAAGCTTCTTGCAAGATTCCTGTTTAAATGAATAAACTTGCGAACCAAGTCACCACTGTCATCTTTGTTTCCTACCATATCTACTAGACCACAGCTACTAAATTAATATGCTACTTATTAATTTCCTTTTGTTTTTAATTATTTACATCATTCTATAACTATCATTATCACCTCTGACTGGCAATTCTGCAATAGAATTTAACCTGTTTTTCTATAACTGCTCTTTCTGTACAGTAATTCATTTTCACAGATTTTCTCAGAGAGTTCTTTTAAAAATGAAATGATCTTACTATATCCTTGCTTACATCCCACCAAAATTTTCCTTTACTATTAGTATAAATGTCATGCAATGCCTCTAATTATCAGACTGTCATCTCCTTTTCTGGTGTCCGTACTATTCCTCTTCCTTGGATCTGGACACTGACATTCCTGGACTTCTCCTCCAAGATCCTTTTCTTCTCAGGTCCTCTATTCAAACTGTTTTTCCTGCTCAGGATATTTCTTTTATCATTAATATGATTAATATGACATTTGTCTTTTAAATTTAAGCAGAAATGTTTCTTGAAAGCACTCATCACAGTTGACAGTCCTTGTTCAATTTGTTTTGGTGTATTTGTGCATTTTTCCCAATTGATTTCTGTTTTTCTAGCCCTATTATAAACTTCATCAGTGTCAGTAACTCTCTGGTTTAATTGTGTAACATGTGCTCTGCACATCTGCCCTATTCCCAGCAGATGATTATAAATGCAGAAAAGGAATGCAAGGATTTTATTCTGTCAATGAAATTAAATAATTATTCTGAGTATGCATCAAGCTTCATATGACTTTTCAACTTAGTTTACCAGCTAAAATTGTAGGGCTCTTCCTTTAAATGAAGCCTTACTAAACATGCAATATATAAAACAAATAGAAGTTATACAGTTCTGTGTGTTAGTGTTCACATGATCAGGAGGGCACCTCTTGTATGGCCTCTTTCCTATTCCCCAGGTTAGCCTCAGAGCCTGGTAATTGTTACCCATACACTCGTGGCCATGCACAACATCATGAGCAGCACAAAGAAGCTTTTTAAAAAGGCAGAACCTCAAGACCTACTCCAGACATACTGAGTCAGAAATCCATACTGAAGGACATCCTACACTGACCATTAAAGCTTGTAGTCACTAAGTCAGAGCACTTGGAATTATGAACTGTGTTTACTTGGGTTTTTTTACATTGCTTTATTTAAATTCTTGATAGAATAATATTATGAATGATTATTAAAAGTTTTTTTTTTTTCTGCTAAGTGGATCAAGGACAACCAAGACTGTTCTCTATTTCTATGTTCTACTTCTACCTTCTAGCATCACTTTCCTGCCAAAAAAGCCAGAGCAAGATTGGCTTTCATTCACTGGCTATATTAGCCCAAATGCAGGCATGCCAATGTTAATTACTTTCCCCAGAAGATACTCAAGTAGCAGGCTAAGAGGTACTTGTGTGGGAGGACCAGGCCTGACAGTTTCACTAGTTGGGTTGTGTGATTGCTAGTAGGCAATCGGGTGAGGCAAGTCATAACAAAAAAGGCATTGCAGTGCCCTTCCTGTTTCAGAAGAACAAATCAAACAAAACCTCCCTTACTTTTGTGTCATGAAACTCTTTTAAATCTGGAGACTCCTTGCACTCCTACTAACATGGAAAGTGTCCTTCCAAATCGAGTTTTATGGCTCTCAATATTTTAAATCTCTCCTCCAATTAGAATATCCAATTAAGTAGAGTAAAACTGTTCAGTAATGAGACACGATTATAGACAAGCACAACACATAGAAACCAGTAGGAGGTTTAGAGAGTTTCCTGTCTGAAATCACTTACGTGGAGTGCAAGATTTGAAAGCAATGCAATCCTTTTCAACATGGGTCATTGTGACAGCATCACACCGTGCACGGTGCCAGTAATACTGCAAGGGAGGTGCACGTGTGTCTGCCATGACTTTTGTCCTCGCAGTGGTCACCCAGGCAATCCCATCACCCCCTGAGAAAGACATCACATCTAATGAGATATGTGGTACTATGTGACACTTACACGCACACAGTGTAAATCTTTTACCATGATGCCTTAATGTAGTACATTTTATCATGATATTTATTAAAATGCAAATATCTTACTGCTTGAAAAAATACCACACAGGCTTGGAATAATCCTAGTCCCAAGTGATTGGGACATTTCCCATTATTTTAGGTGACTTACTGTTTATTAATCTTTCTGAGCTGGATATAAGCAGAATATTAATTTGTTGCTTCCCTCACCCATCCCTGGGAAAATGAAACTTAGAAACAGGCCTTAGAGAAGTATAGGATCACTTCCTGGGGTCCTAACTCAGACTTACTGCCTCTGCAAGCCTGCGTGATGATGACCTTGGGTTTGTTTCTCAGATTCCTGCAATTATTGCTGTTGAAAATTGTAAAGATGGTGTCATCACGAAGAACATCTGGCTTTTCATCACTGTGCTTTGTCCCACAAATTCCATCCTCAATACCATGTGACATAAACACCAGGAAGGTGCTATCTGATGACCGGTGGTCTGGGTGGTCAGCAAAACGCCTTAGCTCTGTTTCCATTTCCTGAAGAGATCCAGAGTCACTATGGAGGAACTTTCCATATAGAGTTCATATGCACAGAGCTCATGAAAATTAATGAGAACTAAAGAATCAGGTTATTTTGACTGAATGGAATTCTAAGAGCAATAGTATTCTGGCATAAATCTAGACAATTTAGGTCTATCGAATATGAAGTTAGTAGGTTTTATACAGCAGCTAGCCCAGTGTCTCTTTTTCTGAAGAAACTGGAAAATAGAGTATAATGAGGGCCAAGTGAGATGACCAGTGTTTCAGACGATCAATATGTATTCATCTGTATTCCAGTCAGTTTCCTGTAGGTTTTCATTAAGGATAGAAAAGACAGGCAGACAGAGACTTTTCCATTGACAAAAACTGAAAGCATCACATTTTTTCATCATAGAATAGCTGAAATTTAAGCATAAAATGATTTCTCTAAATCCTGCCAGGGTATTTCATAACATACCAGAATCACAACTACTTAAATACCTTTACAGTTAGACACATGAATCTGACCTTATGATGAGTCACAGGACCACTTAGTAGATCTCTGATAGATTCAAGGCCCAGAACTTGTTTCTTATCCAGCTCATCAACTAACAGACACCTTCCAGATTGAAAATTCTCAAGAACCCCACATTTTTAGTGAAACATTGCTCTGCAGAAATTCTCGAAATATTTGCTATGAGATTGTGCTCTGCAGAACAGTGTACTGAGACCCAGTGGCTCATATTCTGGAGCAAATAGCATTCCTATAGGATGACTGCTGCCCAGGAAAAGTTGAAAATTGTTTTAGAAGGAAAGAAACTTATTCCACTCTCAGACTGTTACCTGAGCCGTTAGGTTTTCTTTTACTATCACTGAGTACCCGAGGTCTGTAAGCAGGTCTTGCATCCTCGCAACGTCAACCTCAGCACCATGTCGAATAGAAAAAGAGTCAAATATTTTGTTGCAGATGATGAGGGCCAGTCGTGTACGGCCTTCTTTCTCCATTATTGGATATATCTGTAATTATTAGATGGAGAATGACTTGACTCAGGCCCTTCCGTTCAAACAAAAGAAGCTGGTATCAGTATAGAGTGGAAGACAGAAAGCTTGGTAATGAAATATACGCCTCCTAAGAAGAAAGACAGAGCACCAAAGTAAAATCACATGCTAGGTCTGAGTATTCATTCTTGTAAGAACTGGGTTTGGGTTAGGTGGTAGAGACTAGTGGATAGTGAGTTCCAGGATGAGGTAGAAGAGATGGGGAATCTAACATGAAGACCACTTTATAGATGCAACTAATGACTTTTGTCTAAAGGGTAATACAAATTCTCTCTACAAGAATTAAAACATCCATTGTCTCCCCAGTGTCTTGCTTGAATTTACAATATGCTGCCTCTCTATGACAAAGCCTATCACCTTATCCGCCATTTCTTTCTTCAGGTTATGGAAATGATCACGAGGGCAGAGCTTCAGTGTATTCTTGGATTGGGCGCAGTGGATTTCCTGAGGACCTAAAAGAGAAACAGGAAACAAAGAAGGTGACTCATTAAGTGATCATATACCCTGTCTTGCCGTCAGGCACATGTCCACTCATTCGTCAGCAATGTTTATGACAATTCCACTTAAGAGAAAATAAGAAAATTGTTTCTTGTTTCACTGAAACAAATGTCTTGAGAACGCCCCTTCTCTTCCTTTCTTTTCCTCATATTACTGACCCCACTATAAATGTCTTTGTTTACCCAGTGGCCACAGCAGTGACTAGTCTTTCAAGTCCAACACTTTAGAGTCACATACAGAGTCTAAAATGTGTAAAGAAGCTTACCTTTCATTTCGTTCAGTCAAATCACTGTTCAGATAAACTTCATTTATAATATCTCTATTTTCTTATTAACACTCTGACCTCCACTTACAATGTCTCTTGAAAGGTAATCTGCACTATTCTATGCCATGCTGATTCTTTTTTAAAATTTTATTTTAAAAATAAAAAACTAACAATGACAATGAAGACTGAGCACCATCGTTGAAGATACACTATGTAGTGCACAGCAATTGTTAACTCCTGTCATGTTTGTTGTTTTTGTGTTGTCTTGACTTTGTCCTCTATGCCATTCTTTACAATTTTGTTTATCATAAAATGTGTATCCTCTGGGTACTGGCACACATTAACCACCATTCAGAAAACATCTAATCCCTTCCCCCAGTGAATGCTCAACAATGCTTTCATGGCTTCAATATGTCCTTTCTCTATGTTTCTATCCTTAAATATGAATGTCCCTTATAAGTACTAATTCCCATTGAATTTCATTGTGATCAGTGTACCATAAAGTAATTAAGACAGGAAGATGTCTTTCTTTTCTATATGCCCAGTGTCTAAAATGATTATTTGGGAAAATGCAGAGTTTATAACTCTTCATTAATGATTAGATATCTTCAGATACTTGAGAATATCTCTGCTTTGTTATTTGTTTTTCCTCTAGGGCACAAGCCTTCTCTTTCTTATAATATTTTTGCATACAAATTATTTTATCTTAGTGTTCAAAAATCTATCAATTTACCTACACACTACCGACTAATTTTTCTTTTTCTTTATTTTATTTTAAAAATAAAAGGAGGAAAGCATGAACAGACAGACAACCTTTTACAAAATAGCAAAAGAACAGTACAGGTAATAGAGTTACGAACAAAGTGGTAGGAAACTGACAATGCTTGTTGTATTACATATTGATATCTTCAAAGTACCCACTTATTTTTCTTTTCATTCTACTGCAGAGATGGGTCTTTCCTTCTATCTAAGGTCATCCTCTGTTCTTATTGTCAGAATTCCATCTCCCCTCACCCCCTAAGGATTCAACTTAGATACTGATTCAGCGCCTGTTCTATATCGTCAAATTTGCACTCTCCCCACTGAGCTATGCCCATTGCAAATCAGCGTAACTTCACGTCAGTCGTCTTATTAAGAGCATTTCTCTTGGCCCTGCTTCTTCTCCAGCTAGTGTCACATTTCTGTCTCACTTCCCGGCACAGTTCCATAAAAATACTGTCTATTTTCACTATTTTTAAAACTTTTTTCAATCCAACCTGGCTGTTACGCTCATCACTTAAATCAAGTACTTCCTACGAACTCTGTGCCTCACGATCTGTTGTTTATTAGCCGTCTTACATGGGAAAACGTGTCCCCTTTCTTGAACAGTGTTCTTGAGGTTTCTGTAATGCTGTGTTGCTCAGCCATTCTTCCTAAATCTGTGTTCCTTGGTGCTTCTTTCTCTTTGCGATCACTCCAAAATGTGTTTTGTCATGTTTTGGGCTCTCTAATAAGATCTATCAATTTTTAAATATTTCAATCAAAGTTTTGAATTTAATCTCTCTAATATAATCTATCAATTTTTTCTCACTGAGTTGGCATCTTCCAATCTTATACCTTAAAATACCCTCTGCACGCTGATGATTCCAACATTCGTTCCCTGCCCTGACTTCTCCATGAACTCCGCAACTGAACATCCACCTATCTATTCATTCTCTAGGAGATAACGTGTTTCACCTACACAAGTACAAAGCGAGGCACTTGATGTTTGTCTCCTCTACAAATTTGTCTTTCCTGAGCAGCACCTGTTTCTTCTAACTCTGTAGACCATCGCAGTCATTCAGTTGGCAAACCCAAACAAGAATTTGATTCTTTCCTCTTACTCGCTTCTCAAACTACTAGTAAATTAAATGCTTCTCATGACCTTTATAGTTATAACCTCAGTCGAAATCCTGTTATCCCTTCATCTTTATTTTAACTAATACATGAAAACATAAAAACTATGCATATTTATTAGATAATACGTTATGCTTTGACACACGTATACATTGTGTAATGCTTAAATCTAAATAAAACAAAACCGTCTAAGATTTTCTATTGGCAATAACATCCAGATGCTTCTCCACCGACAAAATGGCCCATGCAGAATACCTCAGATCTATTTTATAGCTCCCCCAGTTAGACTTTCCCTAATTTCCTATTTTACACCTAGATCTGCCTTCTTTTCTAACCTCTCACAGCAAGACCATTCCTGTCCTAGGCCCCTGCCCCTCCCCTCTCTACTTAGAGCCTGCTACAAGCTCTTCCTCGTGACTCAAGCCTGGGGAGACAAATAACCACCCGCCTCTCTTCCTTTCCCTCCGCCTTCCTCTCTCTCCACCCTCAGACACAATATCTCTATCTCTGGCATGTCTCATCCTTTTCTTTCTTGTATGTACTCTGAAAATACACTACTTTTACACATTTATTATATATCTACCCTTAATAATTAGAAACAATATTAGCAAGATCTTGCTTTGCCTTACTTACTGCCAGGTAAACCTAGGATTGAGAGGAGCAGTTCAGCTTTTCAACTACTGTGCACTGAACACATACACCCATGAAAAGTGCCATGTTTCATTACTTGGTAAATTTGTCCAGTACTTCTGAAGTAGTGGCATTCAGGAAATAATACAAGTATAACCCCTTGCTTGATACTAGAATTCTTTAAGATAGCCTAATAATTAAGCAATTTATTTGATTACTGTATGTGTCACTCATAGTGAGATTTTTAAATGCCTTTTAAAAATCATATTCTTATTCTATTTATTGCAGTAAGTTGCTTCTTTTTATCTTTTTTCTTCATTAATAAAAGGTCTTGCTATCTTTCTTTTTCCTTTATTAATTTCATTAAAATATGAATCTTATAGTTTATTTAAAGGTGTTATTAGTTTCATTAAATATGAGTCTCTCATCTACACTCTATCCACTGTTCTGGTATATAAACACTAGAATGTGTGGCTAGTGGTTTGGTGCAGATAGGTTTCTTGACTGTTATTCAAATTCTCTGTAGCCTTTCCGAGACTTCATAAAGGTTTCTTAAAATCTACTTAGTTCAAATAATGTCATTATGTGTTCAGCAATAGACATTACCTACCACCTTTAATACTGATCCTGGGGCCACACCAGCATCCTCTTGTTTCTTTACCTTTACTTTACCTTCATGTTTTTCCCCTCTGGATTCTGAGAATTGTAGAGCAGGGAACTAAGTGGTAATCACAATTTTGAAGGACATTCTTAGACTGAGAAGTGAGAGAAAGCTAAATTGTCTGAACCTCGATTTAATGGTCTTTCACCCATTATGAAGAGCCCCTGTACAGCTGCCTCACCGTAGCCGATGTCTGAGGGTTCTCATAAAGCTTACAGTTCGCTAGTGGTTACCTGCTGGAGCGATAGCCAGTTCCTCCACTGACACAGCAATTTCTTCATCTCTGCTTTCTTTACTATCATCTTCAGATGCTGCTATAGAAATGAGCAAAATACTAAGGATCAGTGCTATACAGTACTCTGAAAGTCATTCCCAATAATGAAAATTCACTGAAAACACAGGATTCCCAGATCTTTACCCAGAGACTTTCTCATGAGAATTAAGGTGTGAAAAACTTCACTTGTGACCTGGGGATTGGAGGCAATTACTTCTCAAAGAGGATGATGAGGCAGAATTGTTTTCAGATTTCTCATCATTTTCAGGATGAGATTCTGAAATAATATGAAAAACAGATTTGTCAGCAGAATCTGATGTCTAGAACCTATATACTTCAAACTCTCCCCATTGCTCTGATAAGTAACTGAGCACAGCTAGCATAAGACTCCTCTATGAAGCATGAGGGATGAACCAATTTTCCAGCTTCAACTATGTTTCAGAGGTTGCTGACCTCTGTACCCAGTGAAAAGGGAGGCAGAAGAAATGAAGAGGAAGTCATTTACCTTCCTGCTTATATAACCGAAAGAATAATAAAAGTATTTAGTCATGGCTTGTTGGTGATAGCATTCACTATTTCCTGAAAGAGATGCAAAAATCTATAGACGGGTTAAATAATCTTTGAACAGCAACAAAAATACTTCTAGAGGAATATTCCAAAAATTTAGAATATACTTATTTCTATGTTATACTCTAGGTCAGGGTTAAAGAACTATAAACTGGAAGCAAAAAAAAAAAATTAAATTTTATTGAAATACATCAACACTTATGGCATATGTTTTTGATGCTTTCATGCTATAGTAGCAAATCTCGATCATGAAAGGGATCATATCATTCACAAAGCTTAAAATATTTACTATTTTGGGGGGGAAATGCATGCCATCTTACGTTCTATTGAGAAGCAAACAGTAACTGTTAAATTCTGTGCCTTCTAACTAATACAAATCTAGATTTCCAGAAATTTCTCCCTGGAGCTATGACGTAGAAGGTGGTGGATATTTCTCCATTGAAGATTTTATATAGCTCTGAATAACTCTAAAGTCTCCCTTATATAACCAGAGAATCGTAGCCTCTCTAAGCATTATCTCTGAATTCTAAATAGCCATTTATTCATTCATTCACTTATGAGTATTTTCTGAGTACCCATCATGGGTCAAATGTTCAGGCTGGCCTTGAGTTCACTTTGTAGTCCAGGCTGGTCTCAAACTCACAATGATCCTCCTGCCTCAGCCTCCTGAGTGCTGGGATTCCAGTTGTGTACCACCACTCCCAGTTTATGATATGCTTTGAATCTATTCATGAAAAAAAAAAATCAGGCAAAGATCCCTGTATTGGAGCTTATTTTTAGAAGAGGAAGATAATTATATAGTGAATAAATAAATGTTATGGTATAATTAAGATGGTAATTGTTAAAGGAAAAGGAAAATGTGCTAGGGTATAAAAGTAATTAGGGTAGATTGGGGTAGATTGTGCTATTAAATAGAATAAATAGTGACACAAAAATTCCTATTGATGGGGATAGTTTGTTCTGTACTTGTAAGTGGGAGAATAAAAACAGCACACACAGACAGTAGAGAAAGAATGAGTTTTTAGGCCTTCAACTGAAGCTACTCACGTAATCTCTGCCGTTCCTTGGGATGGGCTAGTTGGCCTGCAAGCAATTTGCCTGTCTTCTCAGGGATATCCTTCACCACTTTTTCAGTGTTGTTCACGATGCGATTCACCTCTTTTCTTACTTTGCGGATGTCCTTTTTGTTGAGCACATCTTTTGTTTTTTGGCGGATTTTCTTTTTGTTGAACATCTTTCTACATCTTGCTGATTTCCTTTTTGTTTAACACATTTCTTCCAAAGTCATCAAAACGTCCATCACCTAGGTGCTTAACAACGGACTTTGTGTTATTGAATGGTTCATCACTAGGTGCCCGTTAGCTGCGAGCACGATGGATATTAGATAGGAAGAGAATCCTAGACATTTGGTTCTAAGCCAGTGGTTCTCAAATTTTAATGTGCATTAAGTTATATCATGTACAGGTACAAATTCTCTATGATGAATGTGATCATGAGGTATATCTGAAGTATACCAATAAAATATGATTGAAAAAATTAAAAATTTAAAAAAGGAATCATCTAGAAAGCTCTATAAGCAGAGCTTTCTCTACCATGTTTCCCCAAATTCTTATTTGAATGATTAGACTACGTTCTAGGAATTTTCTTTTTTTTTTTTCTTTTTTCTTTATTTTATTTTAAAGAAAAAGGAACAAAAACAAAGTAACAAAAAAAAAACATAAACACTATAGAAACGACACAGAATTTCGAAACAAGATGATAGGAAATCAACAGTGGTTGTTGTATTACTTATTGTTATCTTCAAAGTAGTTCCTCAGATTACCAGATATAAGTATGTAAGATTGATCAAACAATTAAAAACATTAGCTGTTCCTTTCACTTAACCAATATAAATTAGTGGTACAATTATCTTACCTATCTTGTATGTATATATATCTATATCTATAGCTAGCTGTATATCTATACCTATCTATACACAAATATATATATATTCTTTCATTCCTTCTCTCCTTTTCTTTTCTTAAATTTTCATTTCTAATAACTTCCCAGGTGATGCCAAAGCTGCCAGTCCAAGAAGCACACTTGAAGTAACAACATTTAGCTTGTTTTCCTGTTCAATCTTCTGTTTTGTTTTGTTTTGTTTTGTTTAACACAAGGTCTCATTTTGTAGTACAGGCTGGCCTTGAACTCCAGACAATCCTCCTGCCTCAGCCTCTGCAGTAGTGGGATTACAGGGATGTGCCACCTTGCCCAGTGGAACCCTCTCCCGTTTTACAGACTGAGAAAATGAGGTTCAGAGAAGGGAAATGAGTTCACAAAGCAACTTACTGATAGATAATGAGTTCAGTCTTTTTATCATCCATGATCCCTTTTCTTTTGTTTTATTTTTTAGTACAGTAAAAAATAATTTCAGTAATCTAAGAAGACATTATATTCAGTATGTGGAGCCATATAACATAACACATCATATCTATAAACTAATGGCTTCTCTTCTTTCTCTTGCTATGGCTGACAGTCCTGTGCTCAGAGGTTAGGAACATAAACTGTAGCTTGCTTACTTGTTGCCAAAAATGAAAGCTTACACAGAGAGCAGAAATAAGGTGAAAAAATGTAAGTTACTTTGTTCAGTTGCATGGCTTCTCATCCTGAGAATGCGTGAGAATTTCAGATCAATATGAGTCCAAAGAAAAGCCTCAGATCACAGAAAAATTTAAGGAATTTAGATTCGTTTACATTTACTTTTCTTTTAAGAAGTTGTAAAGTGTTAACTAAAATACTTTGTTCACAAAGTGGCTGATGTCCCCCAAACTTCCCGTAACTCCTTTGTCCCCAGTCCACCAACAAAAACAGTATTGGGTGGTAGGTCTCCCTCCCTGCCTCCTTCTTTCTCCGAGACAAGAAACGTAACTCCCTCAAAACACAGCCACCAGCAGAGAGTAAGTAAAGCTACTCACCGGCCCTGGCTGTCTGCACTCTCCCGGGGCAGGAAAAACAATGGAACAGAAGCACTCAAAAGCCTTCTTCCTTTCCTGTCAGCCCAGAGTGTGATGACTCAGTTTAAACGGGGAACTCCAGCTTCTCAGATTCTCTTTCTGTTTTGCAGGATACAACTGGGCCTCATTTCTGGTGTGTAACCTTCCTGGTTCATGTAACAAAGTTATCAGAAGGAAAACACACGCATTCGAACACACACAATGCCTGGGCTCAGTGTTCAGTGTTTTAGCCCTGGTAATTAATCTAAGTGTCTATTTGTCTCAGTGCCACCCTGAGCTTTGATATTGCCAGGAAGCCTCACCCCACTGACACCTCCATCACCCAGGGCGCATAGATTGTCTAAGGCTTCAGAAAGACTGACTGGGCACTGTGAAAGGGTTATGCTCTTACCTCTGTTATCTGTTTACCTGTCATTTCTACATCTGGTTTATTTGTTAGATTCGTGTGTGTTTTTGTGTTAACTGTGCAAGAAAATCTTTTACTTAAATTATGGGTGTATGGTTGCCATTAAAATCAAATCATGGCAAAGTTTATAAAGTACAGGAAGGCTGCTTTGTTTCTTTAATTTCACAGTACACAGTAACCACAGTTATATGTTTAGTTGGTATCTTTGTGAATTATTTTCTAGTCTATTGTGAAACACTTAATACATTACTAATTTAATTGATGAACCCAATCATTGATCTCCTTATATCCATGCACTTTTCCTTAAACTCTGAGCTGGCCTCACGACTTGGTTTTGGCCCACATGAGGCCTAGTGGACTTTGTACAGTTCTAAGCCCAGTATCATAAAATGTTGTATACTTTTCCCTCTTGGATACCGGAAACTCTGTGCAAACCAAGCTGGCCCAGTTGGTTGCAGGATAATAAAAGCCACCCAGCTGTTGTCTCGTGAACAACAGTAAACCTTATTGGTGTCAGGTCTGCTGATTTCTTGGGTGTTTTGATACTTACTCAACAATAGATAACTGACAGGCAGGTATTTATTTATAGCTTTCTCTTCTTAATACCATTGTCATCATCATATTACCAAAAATATAATTTTCTTTTACTCTTACAATGTATGACAAATATTTTGAAAAGTCAACATATTAAAGACTCTCTGTTACAGTGCTACCTCAGTTCACAAACTTACTTTTTCTACTATCTTGGAAAAGATGGCCACATTTGTATTTGTGTGAGAAAAATGACCATGGTCATGTTTGTTACTGGATGCAAAGTTGGCAAACAAAACCAAAATTCTTCCAGATGCTTCTGTTTAGGAACTAAACTGTTTGTGAACGTAATATGCATTTGTGCACATTGCACATTTCCATATATTATATGATATATAAAGACACTGTAAATTTATAATGTAGTTATGAAATATTTCACATATTATTTAAACCACTTAAATGTATTATTTTAATATGTGACTATTAAAACATATGCAATATATAAAAATAAGCTAACTGTATAACACATTTATTATCTACTCATCAGTTGATAGATACTGTACTTGGGTTGTTTCCATGTTTTAGCTATTGTGAAAATGCTATGCAATTCTTCTTAGTATACTCTCAGAGTGTAACTACTGACTAATATGGTAAATCTATTTTAATTTTTTGAGAAACGACTATATAGTGTTACCATTTTTCTATTACCACCCACAATACACAAAGGTACTAATTACCCCACATTTTTGCCCACATCTCGTACTTCCTTTCTATGACAGAGCCCAATGGTGTGTGAGGTAATAAGTGACCACAGTTCCCGGCATCATTATTTTTCACCCTCTTGCTGCGGTGAATCAGAGCCTGTTTTGTTTCATCATTGAAGTGCAGATATTATATGAGGATAAATCCAGTTAGTTTTTCCTATTTTATTCCCACTTATTACCATATTAATTAAACTTAATTCTCTAGTAAAGAACCCCCAAAGACACAGTTCATTTGTCTTTGCTTTTATTGAATTAGAAATGAAATTCATGTGTTGTCCTGGCAAAGGTGCTGTGTGAATTTGATAAAGGAAGGCTAGGTTGCCTGCGGTTTCTGCAGAAAAGAGAAAAGAAGATGTAAACATTTATGCCATGCAACCTCGATCTCACCCTTCATCTAAATTCTTTTCCACTCTCCTCCATGTGCTTGCCCCTCCCTTGACTTTTGTCCTATAATCTCCAGTCTATTCAGGAAATGTTACTCCAATTGATCTTGCAAACCCTAAATTATGAGGTGTCATGACCACATGGCTATCAATGATCCCAGGGAAAAACAGCTGTAGGATGAGGAAAATATAGACAAGAGACAAGAGCTGAGGTCAGGTGGAGGTCCTCTCTCCTGATGGAAGGAGAAGAACAGGGGAAGCACAGTAGGGGTGTTTATTTATAGTTTTACAAAGTTAGTATTACAAGACACAGGTTTGCCTAGTGACTAATAACTGGCATTGTCTGGGCAGGATATTCTTCTCAGGACTAAGATAGTTTGATTGCTTTAGTCACTTTGGCCTTGTCTTCCCCGACACATGTGACCAATTTCCAGCTTCAGCCACTCCCTATGAGGTATGATTGAAATATATGGTAACTGTTTAAATTTTAAACATTTAGTATGAAAGGGATTTTGCCCTTGCTTTCCTTCAAAATACTCTCCCTCTTTTCAGGCATACCTACCCCACATTCTTGCATTTTCTTTTTTGTTTGTTTGTTTTTCTTCTGGTACCAGGAATCGAACTCAGGACCTTGCGTTTGCCAGGCAGGTGCTTTGCCACGGAGCTAAATCCCCAGCCCTCTTGCACTTTCTGAAGCAGTTCAGTAAACTCTCTTTCATGAATGTTCTCAGTTGTGCTATCATAGCTGCCTCTGTGTGCTGAGTCCATTCAAAAGGTTTACTTCTTAGTGTCATTTTGACTTTGCAGAAGGGCCGGAAGTCCTACCGTGCCAGATCTGGTGAAGAAGGTGGATGAGAACGTACCTTAAAGTTTTTAATAACTGGTCTTTCCATTGGACTTCTATGGGAAGCATCATTCACTGAAGTTTGATCACATCAAAGATGACTTCCAGAACAGTCAGAGAGTGCCAAGAACAATGGGATGTATGCGTTCAATGTGCAGGTAACTGTTTTAAAGACCGTGTGTCTTTTACTGTGATAAACTTCAGTTAAATATTATTCACATATTTTGATCACATCTTAAATGTCAGTTTTCTGTTCAAAAGCACTTGGGAGATATTCTTTCTCACTCAGGTTGAAAGTGTTTTTAAATTTTTGCTGGATTATCTTCAAAACCCGTGGGATCACACTCCTCGTCATATCTCTCAGCTGCTCTGACATTGTCCCCATCTCTTTCCACTCTAGTACACTTTCTCCACTCAGTTCCACAAGCATATTTAGCATATCACTGCCCCAGGGCATTTGCCCCTGCTGTGTCCTGGTGAGGGACACTTCCTGAGAACTTTGACGTTCCCTCCCCCATTCCTTCCACTCCTTGTTCTGATTTTATTATTTCAAGTAAAACTTTCCTAAAAAATGTGTCAGTATACCATCATTATACTTTATGTCCTGTTGCTCATCCTTCATTTTTCTACTTAAATGGTACCATTTTCTCCTCAACTATTATAGATTTATGTATTTCTGTATTTGGTGTTTGTCCTCACATTGTTTTTTTACAGTAAATATTCTATTTAGTTTGGTCTCCAATATCTTTTCAACATCTAGAAAAAAACCTGGTATGCATTAAGTGTTAATGACTAAAAATTTCAATGCACAAATGTGGTCCTGTGTCTGGGTTAGGTGATGAAGACTGTTCTGCTGAAACAGCCACACAATTGTGTGAGTGCAGTGTCAGAACGCGAGAAAAAAAGGCGATGGGAGTAAATGCTCGCAGTGTGGAAATAAACTTTAAAATATGTTTCAGAGAAGATTTATAATATGATACAGTATGATACGAAATAGTTGTAAATAAAACAATCACTGGGCCTGAATTTGATTTAGTCATTCTAAAATGGAAAAAGGCTTGCTTGATAACTAGAATTATTCCATCTAATAAAAGGGAAAGTGTAGGAACTCAGCAGGATGTAAGAACTTCCCCAAGTTCAGACAGTGAACAAGCATCAAAAATAATGGCCTCTTTGCTCCATGCTGGTCTACAGCTTAGGTAATGCTGTCTTCCACAATATAATAGAACACACAAACCAAGTCAGAGTTTCAGTTATGAAACAGAATTGAGTTGTAGAGGTCTACTACTGCACAGCACAGTGCCAAGAGCTGGTAATACTCTGAAATTATACCCTGAAAAATGTTCTAAGAGGGTGGATTGGATGTTATGTCCTAAATACACACACACACACATAAAAAAAATTGAAAAAGGTGTGTTATAAGAGAGAAATATGTGTATGGCATAGATTGTGGTGATGGTTTCTGCAGAGAACAAAGCAAAATAAGCTGCAGAGGTTGAACTAAAGTGGTACCTTTACACAACTCCAAAGGATACTACAGTGATTCTTGTACTTATCTACAGTATGTGACTGGGGATTTAGCTCAGCGGTACAGTGCCTGATAACTAGAATTAGGTCATGAGTTCGATTCCTTATACTGGAAAAAAACAAAAACAAAACAAACAAACAAACAAACAAAACAGAATTGAAGATTATAATTTATACACATGGCCTCATGCTTTCCACATTGCTCCCAGATATATTTGGGGCTGGGGATATAGCTCATCAGCACAGTGCCTGCCTGGCAAGCCTGAGGTCATGAGTTCGATTCCCGGTACCAAAAAGAAAAAAACAAACAAACAAAAAAAACGTGTGGCTTGCACTCATTCACCAGGCTACGAAAGGCACTTGCTAGATAACTGGAATTATCCCATTTTACCGAGGGAAAGACTGGGAGCTCAGCAGGATAAAAGAACTTCCCCAAGTTCACATAGTGAGCAAACAACAAAACATGGCCTCTTCGCCCCATGCTGGTCCACAGCTTAGGTGATGCTATCTTTCACAGTATAACAGAACACACAAACCAAACCAAAGTTTCAGTTGTAAAATATAACTAAGTCATAGAGATCTACTACTGCAATAGCTAGTAATACTTGGTAGATTGTATACTAAGAATCCTTAACATACAAACACACACACACAAAGTAATAAAAATTGAAAAA